CTAAAGATGTGGAAGCTGAAGTTTGAGGAGGTCCCTTGAGTGAAAAGAGGTTCAAGGACAAAGCATGAGAGAGTGTCTACATTCTGGTTAAAACAAGCATTTGGAAGAGAAAGGAGCAGAGACAAGAGACGACCTGGAAGACATAGCTCTGAAGTCTAGGTGGGAAATCCCACTGAGGCGATTAACCAGTAGAGTAGGAACGCAGAGATCCTGCACCTCAGGCCCTCAGGGGAGCAGTCACTGCCTAGCCAGCCACGTATATATGGGGCGCTGAGTACATAGTAAGAAGCTAAGCAGGAGTGTGCAGGCAGGAGCCACTAGCCCTTTGATTTCTAATATAATTTGGAATGCTAGTGTTACAATTCTTTGCTTCCCATTTATTTTCTTGCACCCCAGCAGTTGTTTCCTAGTATTGCTTTAAAAATGATACATCTTCATGTAAAATCCAAACTAGCATAACCACAGAGAATCTCAGGGCAGCGAGGGAGTGTTTTCCTCTAAACAGGGGCATATGTAATGACTTAATTCTAATAATCCCATCTATAGTTTGTTGAAGCAGTTTCTTTTATTGGTCAGTGAAGATGCATTTTAACCCTGAACTGGTTTTAAATTTCAAAACGTGGCTAAGGAGAGAGAGGAACAGATAGAAACACATACACAGAGAGAGTTGTGAAAAATTATTTTTCAGTTATTGATTAAGCTGTCTTTCCCATTTCTGACTTCACTATGAGTCAAAGAGTTTGGCTTCTCAACCTCTGGGAAATCTATGCAGTTGCAGAATATGAGATTTTAGAGGCTGAAAGTAACCTGGTAGAAATTCAAATCCATCTTTTATCTTTTAGATAAAAGCCTTTGAAATCCTTTTAGTGTGAAGTTATCAGCAGGCTTGATTCTCATATAACCTCATTACCAACCCCAGGATTCTTCAGAATGCATAGAGAGCCATGCTCTGTGACTAAACTCAGTTTTGATCACTGCTCCAGCTCAGTGATAAGCCACATGTGGTTCACCTGGTTCTGCTCGGGAAATTCCATCTGCGCGCCCCAACACACCCTTGGAGATCCCAGATCACAGTACATATTGAAGGCACTCATAAAATGCGCACCAGTGAAACCACTTCAACTTTATTTGAGCATCTCAAAACCATATTTAACTGCAGAAGCTTTTTCTGCATTAACATTTCATGACTCACCTAGGGCTTTGCAAGTTAGGAAGTGGAATGGATGCCTTTGAGAAACTGCTGTTTCAGAATGAAGGTCTCTACTATGGGAGGTGATATCTCAACATATCTTTGTTTCATGGATTACACTTGATGGTGTTTCGGGAAAAATTCTTCCCCAGCATTTTCAATGAACTCCATTCTCCCATCACCACAGAAAAACAAACATTAGATATTAGAGTTTTGCACACTTTCCTGAAAAAATATTTTAATCAGCTGCTGGAACCGGAACCACTTGAATTTGAAGGAATAAACCTCCTATTGATAAATTTAGAGAAAAATAAGAAGAAAAAGTAGTTGCATCCAGTTCACCAATTGTTATCTTATGGCTTATTTCAAATCAGATCATTCATTACTTGAGGTACAAACCTGGTTTCCCAAACTGGCGCTTGCAGTGATTTACTCATTCCGTCTGGGTGTGATGGTAACTGTGCACATTTACATTCTAGCTGCACCGCCTCTGGCAGCTGCTCAAGTTGCCTGCATGAAGCAGAGCCAGGAGATAACATTCCTGCTGTTTTTATTGCTTTCCACAACATTTGAAGTTGGGCTGGGAGTGGGAGAGGTGTCCCCATCATGGCCATAAATGTCCACCATCTGATGCCAAAGAGGTAAAGCAGCCCTCCTTGGAAGATGGAGTAAATCCCTTAGGCCTCTGGTCTTCATTTCTTAAAGCCTGCTAAACAGAGGCAGATGAGAAACCCACCCCCTTCTTCATCCAATAGCCAATCACCTCCACCTTTAATTAGAGGCTAGGGCTTGCAGGGATTTGCCAGGTGAATTGCTTTTAACTGTTCACCCCCAGATGACCTCACTTACCCTAATCCCCAAGAACTCCACAGGATCCTGGGCTGGCTGGAGACTGCCTCAGTCTGACTCCAGAAAACAGAATTACAGGCAAGGTGCACTGTGGGGACAGCACCCCAGATGGGGAATAAACATCCCCAACAATGTCACGCTGGGAAAGGAGCTGCCATTGGTCAGCTTCAGAGATGATTCTGGGTGCTGGGAGGTGAGCATGTCTAGGAAGACATTTAAACCCTCGAGTTTGCATGATTTTCTGGATGTCTCAGTGTGGTCTATATTAGCTCATTCCTGGGACCTAATATCTTATGCTTTCTTCTTTGAATGTTAGCTCTTTGGTAAAAAGCTGCCAAAATCATGACAGAGTCTGATGGGGAAATTTTTATTGCCTAATAAATAATTCCATAGGCCATAATTCCATATTAGCAACTAAATACCCCAAATGTATAAAGCATGTAGAGTTAGAGCCAAGATATGGATGAAAAACAGCTGAGTGACACTTCCTAAGAATTATTCATTCTCTTATAATATGAAGGCGGGGCTGGAGCGCTCTCCTACACCCAGGCTCACGGAGCTGCATGCTGCCTGCAGGCCAGAAATCCTTACATTGGTGGTGTCATTTTTCTTTAATTCTCTGTGAAACTCTGGAAGAAATCTCAAGCGTTCTTCTCAAGATGAAGAGGGACTGTAGACTGCCATAGTGATTATCATCTGACAGAGGGACATGGAAATCAGAGGACGAGAAATAAGTTCCCCAGATTTGGAAACCTGTAATGTATAGTGAACATTCTAGGTCTGGCTGTTCTTGTGGCCAAGTTTTTTCTTTTGTGGAGAGTCATTTTTGCCCAACAAAATGGATCCACTTCTAACTCTTCTGATGTTATGTGGGAATACTTTACTGCTGGGGTCCAGCCTCAGCTTAGGTACAGGTCCTAAGATGGGGAAGGGGGGTTCAAGGAAAAATTCTGACCACCAGGTGGATTGCACTCAAGTGGCCCCAAATAGCTCGAGCCATCTTTATTGATACTTAAGCAGAGTTTTTCTTACCACGGTTACATGAACAGCTCTATTATTTGGTCCTATTTTAGACTTTTAAGAACTATATCACAATCATTATGAAAGTCTCCATTGTTTTCCTCTATGCTTCCCCAAATACACTTTCTCACCCCCTCCAAAATCGTATTCTAGACATAGAGCTCAGCATTTTTGCAGGCTTAACTAAAACCGAGCCAGACACAGCCTGCTCTTGCAGCCCTTAGTCAGCTGGCAGCTACTGGGTTACAAAGTTCGAAAGGGATAGGCTTGGGCACAATGCTTTAAGGACAACAATATTCAAACCCAAACAATTCCTTCAGGATATGCTTTTATACAGTTCCCTTTTCTACACGAGGGTCCCATGTCTCACTCTCTCTGTAAAAGGCAGGCTTAATAAGGCACTCCTTTCCCCTCTCACTGTACCATACTTCTTCCACCAATATAAGCTCCTGTGTATGATAAAGATGGATCTCTCCATCCCATAGTTTATGCTACATTTTCCCCGCATTGGATCATACTAGATCGTATCATTGATTCTATATCTTGGTGTTCAGGGACCTTACTCTCAACAGTTGGCACTATGTGTATTCCTGAGGCTTTTTCCCTATAGTGTGTGTGTGTGTGTGTGTGTGTGTGTGTGTGTGTGTGTGTGTGTTTATCTTACTCTCCTTTCCAGAATTGTGAGACATGGTTAATGTTCCAAGTGATTTCTCATATGTACCTAACTGTCTCTATTGAGCTAGAAAAGTTCCCAGGATTGGGAGCTATAGTTAGGAATTCCAGATAAGAGATTTGAGAAGCATTAGCCCCCTGCTGAATCTTAGAGGAAAATATTCAAGAAAGAACAGAATTTCCAGAGAAAATTACAGCTGTTCCATGTGTGACTAACAAAGTAAAACTAAAAACCACCCAAAGAATCACTAATACAATGAGAGGGAAAAGAGCCTGCAAGCTGTACGAATTTTCCAAATTCCTACACTGTCCCGTGGACTACAGGTCCTTGCCAAGTGAGAGTCTGCTTCCACGGGTACTTTGCCCAGAGGAAACCCATTGGACAACTAGACATATGCTGATCAGAGACTAGGCTGCACAGCTCCTGACACTTCACACACACACACACACACACACACACACACACACACACACACACACACACACACCACTATAATCTTCCATCCTCTGAAAACCTGTTGTTACCCCCTCCCACTTTTCTTTTAGATTACTCCTCTATCTGCTTGAAAAATCAGTATAGTTCTCATCACCTATAAGCAGCCGTCTGAACCATACATCCCCTAAAAACAAAAATAAGAGCAATGGTAAAATGTGTGGAATGGCAGAGTTATGCTAGTATGTCTTGGTTTGGGTGGATTGTGATGAACAGAGGCCAGTGTTCTGCAGAAGGCTGTCCCTCTGTGTGATGGATAGAGACCAGTGTTCTCCAGAAGGCTGTCCCTCTGTGTGATGGACAGAGACCAGTGTTCTCCAGAAGGCTGTCCCTCTGTGTGATGGACAGAGACCAGTGTTCTGCAGAAGGCCATCCCTCTGCCATGGTGAAGTGGATCTTAGCATGGAGGTTGTGTCCATCCTATGTACTGTCATACCTTCCTGGAAATCACTTTGGTAGAGCATGGAAGACACTCAGAGCCATCACTTAAAGAAGCAGGAAACCGTTTATTTTGGTAACTTTCTGTAAAGTGGAGGTTTGTCTCATCATTGGGGTCCCCATTTAGGAAAAGTCTTCATTGGCATCTGAATCATTTGACGGGTGGTGAGAGAGCTGCTTCCTTTGGGATTTGGTTCCCTCAGCCATCATCTGTTGCCTTTAGAGCATTTCATGTAAAATGAATTTCAGGGGTATACAGGAAGGCAGTCCGCTGTGTTCTTTTCAGTCAGACGGGGCTTGCATTTCCCATCTCAATTAAGGGTTATTTTCTCCTGACAGACACCAGATACTGCTACACTCAGCACACCATGGAAGTCACAGGAAACAGCATCTCTGTCACCAAACGCTGTGTCCCCCTGGAGGACTGCTTATCCACGGGCTGTCGAGACTCAGAGCGTGAAGGCCACAAGGTCTGGGAAAGCATTAATTCCTTCTCCCTTTGCTGGATTCTCCAGGGCTCATTAGCGGAGCTCCCCCACCCCCATTCCCTACGTAGTCTGCCTGACTGTCTTTACGTGGCTGTGAAAATGTGCTTGCTTTCCTGTTGGCTTCAGGAGAATACCAGTGTGTAGCAGGGCAAAGGACAAACAGATGGAGTGTATAAGCACATGTAACGAGGATGCTGAAGATTATAGAGTCCTGAAAGGAGAGGGTCAGGGACCACTCATACCCATCCTGGTAGAGCATGGCAGATACTCCAAGTCTTCCACCTGTGGCAGCAGGAGGCCACCTATTTTGATAGCTTTCTGTAGAGTGAGGGTGCACATGTCATTATTGGGGTCTCAGTTTAGGGAAGTGCTCCAGTGGCACCAGAGTCATCGCATAGGTGATAGGAAAGGCCCTCTTGTGGATTTGTTCCCCTTAGACTTCGGCTGGTGCCTGTACACAGAGCATTCTGTGTAAAATGAGTGTTGGGGTGTCTAGGAAGGAGACTAGAAGGAATCCAGCATTGCTCCCCCTGGAGTCCCGCTTTTCCTGCCATGTTTCAGCACTGACCGTGGGGTCTGAACTTGTCACACTTTGGCCTTTACTTGACATCTGCCCACCTGTCAGACCACCTCTCTGGGCTTCAGGGAAACTCCTTTTCTTAGTACCCTGGAACAGCATTGTCGCCAAGGGCTGCTTTCATTCACAAAAAGTAGAGGTGATTTTTTAAGCTGCTTCTCAAATTCACTAAGAATTAAAACTTAAAACACCGCCTGCCTACTTGTTACTAGTTTGAAGAAAGGTCAAATCAAAGTTATTTCCTGACCCTTCCAGCAAGCTGGGCTTGGCTCTCCAGTATTATTGTGATTTTTTTTTTTCCCCAGGAGGAGCTCTGGGAATCCGAAGATGTGTTCATTGCTTGTGTTACTCAACTAGTATGAGAAAGACGGGCTAGAATTTAAACTCACTCCTAACCGTTAGTCTCTCTTCTCAGCATTATGCTATTTTGGGGACTCGTGCTGGTTGTGGCCAAAGGTTTACATCTCTCCTGACTAGTAACTGTAGGATAACAACCACCTTATGAATTGGATTCACCTGAGATCTTGTTAACATTCAGATTCTAGTCTCCCAGGTGCTGGGTATGGAGTGAGATTCTGCATGTCTAACCAACTCCCAGTTGGGTGGCTGGTCAACACAGTGGGTAGCCATGGCTTCTTCTGCCAATAATAACTTCTGCCAATGAACCCTTGGGTTCACTTCTTTCCTATGATTCAAGGGAAAAGCTTTCCTGTGATTCAAGGGTAAAGCAATGTAAAGCAAGAGTAATTGAATAAATGAAAATCTTTCAAATGTCTCCCACTCAAGAGAATGTTGTTGACCATACCCATAGTACTAATGAGGGTAAACATTCCGGTTCACATGACCCAAGTCATTGCCACTTTATCCTCATTGTGAAAATCTCATAGGAAGTTTTTACCCTCTTAACAGTTACGTCCTCTTGTCAGGAAGAGCCTGTTTGAGGAAGGAAGGCAATGTTCACAATTCCCGGTTTAGAGGCAAGAGAACTGTTGTCTTAGAGGACGGTGAGGCTAGCACAGGTAAGATGGCAGAAACAGAACGAAGGGCCCCTGAAACGTAGGCTGGAATTTTCCATTCGGAGCATGCTGCTTCTAGATGGGATAGTATTCTTGCCCTTCATGAATGTCAGGAGGTGGTCCTTTTGTAGAACAGACCGTTCTCATTTGCCAGGAAGGAGACTGTTCCTTCTGATGCCCCGCTTCCTTTTGAAACAGGCTGGCTTCTCTTGACCCTTTATTTTCTTTCTTTCAGATCTGCACCTCCTGCTGCGAAGGAAATATCTGCAATCTACCGCTCCCTCGAAATGAAACTGATGCCACATTTGCCACAACGTCACCTATAAATCAGACAAATGGGCACCCACACTGTGTGTCAGTGATTGTGTCCTGCTTGTGGGTGTGGCTAGGGCTCACCTTGTAGCAGCACTCTCTACCAAATGTAGTCGAGCTCCGTGGGTTCCCCTGTGGCCCATAGTCATGCATGAGTCATTGGCCTGGCAGTAGTGACACAGTGCAACCACAGCACCCCGGGACATTGTCACAGCCGGGCATTCCCATTCCCACGAAGAACAAGCATTGCTTCAGTGCCGTCATCTTCAGCCTAACCAAGACCCCATCTCAGTCAGCCTGTCCCTCATACGGACCCTGATTTCTATACCACAAGCCTGTGATGTTGCTCCAAGAAAGAGTTCTGCGTTTATCGATGTCCGCGGAATCATTCATGAGCTGCCGGAGATCCTGCACCCTCTGAGATGTGAGAAATAAGCCATGGATGCAGGAGGTGTTCGTTTTTTTCAGGAGGAGAGTAAAGAACCACTGGCTTAATGCAAATCACAGCTTCACCCATGGCTTTAGAATTTTAAAACTTTAAATCCAAAATAAATGGAATAATTTCTTTGAGATTCTGATGGAGTCCCTGAAAGAGCAGCAAGTACTTTGCTCAATTTAATTTCCCTGGCTTTCTTATCTTAACATAGTGGAAACATGTTCCTTCCGCTCTTGGTAGAAGACAAAAAAAGGCAATTATAAAAGTTGGTTGTATTTGCAGAAGTGATGGGAGAAAGATTTCATGATGAAATTAGCATCCATGAGAGGAAGTTTCTCCCTTCTTAGAACTGGAGAGCTTGGTCTTGATGTGAGAACTAATCTGGTTTCTGGAGTTCCTGGTTCCCACCTGGGCCAGTAGCATCTACAGAGTCTTAAAGTAGGGTGGGATTCCTTTCTCTGGGTGTTGCATTCCATTCAAATATAGATAAACTAGTCAGCGAAAGGACTTCAGAATAAAAGGAAGCTTTGTGGAGGTTAGTCCTAGAGTTCATTTAGAAGGCCCGGAAATGGCTAAGCAAAATTCTTCCACTGTCCATAGTATTAACTGCCAAAGAGCCCTCTCCTTCCAAAACCAAGTGACTTTAGGGAGAAAGTTCCTAACTGGATCATCAGTAAGTCAATAAGATAAGAATACATATGTGCTAGGATGGGAAGAAGATGGATTGTAAGTAGTATGGTGGCCTAAGGGGTAGTATTTGTTTCTCTCAGATACTTCTTTTGAAGTAAAAAAGATTTTCATCATCTGTCATGTATTTTTTTAACCTAAAAATTGCATTGTTTTCTTCTTCCTCATAAATTCTTTAAATGACACTTATTTTTGTATGCTAGACACTAAAATATATTTCAAAAATTTCTTTTTTTTCTGAACAAAATATGAAATTTGAGTGCTTGTTTTCAACAGTACTAGAGCTTATCAGTATTCATGGAGAGGTATCTATGATCCTTGTACTGATGTTGAAAAGTTAATTTGCTGCGAGCATGAGTTATGTTCTTGCTTCAAGGGTTTTGCTCACGGTTTCCTCAGAAGCATTGTCTCAGAACTATTTACGCGGAGACCGTCATGGCCCGAGTATCTGTGCTGGGCTGTGTTGATATGGAACTTGGAGCAATGCCTGGATGAAGAGCACGGCATTGTTCAGATATAGCTGTCCTGCACAGAGAACTTGAGCTCATAAAATGAGACCTCCCCTCAGGGACCAAATATGAACCCACAGCAGAAACTCTGATACAAGACACTGAAGTTGCATCACACAGCCTTAATTCAGAGTTTGGCAGGCTTATCAATTTCTTGCTTATAATTGGGGGTGGAAGAGCAGGAAAAAGGGGACGTGTAATAAGCACGTGCCAGGCACTTTGCTAAGCACTTTACATAGTTGGGCCATATAACCCTACAGCAATTCTGTAAGGAACAGTGCATATGTATGCTTTACAAATGAAGGTCCTGAGGCTCAGAGATGTTTGATAGATGAAGCCTTTTCCTTCAGATTTAGTGTATGTGGGATGTGACAGGTTTGAACAGAAAAGGAAGTGGAATTTCTCTGCTAGGAAAACTTACAGGCCTGACTTCATAGGAATTTGCCCATCTTATCCCATAGAGCACATCCTGCTTCTCAGGATGACATTTGCATGTGTCCCCAGTTGATGCTTTTTCTTTGGGGAGTAAAGTTAGGGCTTCCTTATTTATCCCTCTTGTGAAAAGAGGAGACAGTTGAACTTGCATCTAAAGATGCTTTAAGGTAATGGGAATTTGATGTTGTACATAGCTACAAGTACCATTTTTGTGCATGGTCACACTCCACTGACATTTTCCAAGTGCTGCATGCAGTCTGAACAAGAGACAAGGAACTGACCACATTAGAGCCTCCCTGGCTGGTTTACAGGGATAAGGTTCTCAAGGGGGATAATGGCAGCAACTGTACACATGTGCTGCGCATATCCCTAATGCCTTTCAAAGTTGCTTTTGTTTAATTCTCTTCAAAGAATGTGATTTCCTCACCACCCCTAGCCTCAAAAGCCAAGGAGGGGCCATCCATGTAGAAGATTCAGGACAAGTTAGCCATCTGACTATTCTGTCACTTTAAACTTTCCATTAAACCTCACCATTGGTGATGGCTTAACATGCAAAGAGCCATGATACATATATTAACCTATGTGCCACATATTTATTTTTAAACTCCCTTCTACATCCATGTCAATATGGGATTAATGCCTAAATGTAAATATTGTATACTTTGTAAATCAATGAATAAAGATTTTAAGTGTGTTTAAGCTTCTTCCTGCTAGTGTGTATGTCAATCAGTGATTAATACACCAGGTTATATTCAAACCAGGGCCTTAGCACCACAGTAGACTTCTTTCATGGGCTCTCTTTCCAGAGATTTCCTAGTCAAGAAATACACACCTGAAAAATTCTCTCTCATGCGAAATGATTCATACAGAGGTAAGTGCTTGGAAAAATCAAAGGGAAAGACTGTCAAACTTTTCAATCTGCTCTACAGTTTCCCTTGAACATTTCTTTGTTAAATCAAAAACCATGGAGCTATCTATACGTGTGTGTGTGTGTGTGTGTGTGTGTGTGTGTGTGTGTGTGTGTATGTATGTATGTGCGTGCGCGCGTGTATACGCGCGCATAGGTGTATGCTCACGTGACGTGTATGAAGGTGAGGAGGAAACTTTTGGGAGTTGGTTCTCTCCTTCCAATGGAAGTTGGAGGACACACTCCAGGAGTTCTCCCCCCCACCACTGGTTTAATTTGGTTGGCAGGCCTGTGAAGTATGAACTTTTACCCACTGAGCCATCTTGTTAGACCCCCAATGTGCTTCAACGCCAGCCTTCATGCTCATGTGTGACTCTTGTTAGCAAAATATCAAAACCATAGCTTCTTCTGTTAACAAACTCGAATCTTACTTTTTGCAAATTGCAGTCCTTGTAATTAGCTGAGTGTAAATTTTTTTTTTGTAGTGCTATTTCAAACTGAAATTTAAAATTCGGGGTCTGAGAAATGACTTCTCTAGAGTCCTCCTTTTGGTTCTAATGGCAATGCTGACCTTTGTGTATGATTTTATCTCCGAAACACTTTAAAATGCTCTGTGCATTGCTTCCATTGATCAAGATGAACACATTTACTATTGGATAGCTACAGCTTTGCTGTGTCCAAGGAAGGTCACACTAGCAGATTATCTCAAGAGACTCTGATTCCTCTTTGTTCCACGTCACCAGGATGACATGCATGATGCCTCCCCCTTTCTCTGGCAGTTTTACTAGAAAGTTATTGTTCGGGTTGCTGAGTTGAAGGTGGAAGGAACATTAGAAACCATCTGGTCTACCCCCTTTGTTTTCTATTTGTGAGAAAAGAAGCCCAGAGAACCCAAACCATTTGTCACTGAAGACACCATATGACCGTGTTAAGGATCGAATTCTATTGAGTGTCCCTTCTGTGATGCTCAGAGTAATTAAACACTGGCAACAGGAAGCAGTTTAGAGGTGCCCCTCTTCTTTACTCTAGGTTAAGAAGTGCTGTGAGTATCATCAAGGCAGGGAATAGAAGCTGGAAAGGGAAAACTTCCTATAAGAAAGCAAGGAAGCCGGGCGGTGGTGGCGCACGCCTTTAATCCCAGCACTTGGGAGGCAGAGGCAGGCGGATCTCTGTGAGTTCGAGGCCAGCCTGGGCTACCAAGTGAGTTCCAGGAAAGGCGCAAAGCTACACAAGAGAAACCCTGTCTCAAAAAACCAAAAAAAAAAAAAAAAAAAAGAAAGCAAGGAAGCTGAATAAAAGGGTGTCCACCCTAATTTGAGAAGAGAAACACTAAGAACAGTAATCACTTTTAGGCTCATGAACTAAAGAGAGCAATTTGGGAAAATTGTACAATACAATATCATTTAGTTGGACATATTTTCTCTGGGGGTTACTGTATATCTGGAATTATGAACTAACCTTCCTAAACCTTGTGTACTAGATAGAGTTCAGGTCTCCACTGACATCCCCACTTGAAGAGATGCCAGGGATTGTGTTGTCTAATTAGGGAAAGTTCATCCATAAAGAAGGTCTACTGAGTGTGGACATGCGGAAGAAGCACCCCAGAGTCAGCCAGGAGAGAAACAGAACAGCTAAAAATAAAATCATACCCTCAATAAACACATTCATCTCTGTAGAGAATTCAAAATCAATGTAGTGTCTGGGTCCTACTCTATCTACAGAGATGCCTGGCTGTTGGGACAGTCTGCACATCTGTCTACTCAGCCGTGTTTTCCGAGTAACAACCTCTCAGCTGACTAGGCTCTTGGCACCCGCCCAACCTCTCTCAGCAGTAAGGCAGGACTGAACAATTTGAAGCCTACATCACATGATGTGAGCAGATGAGTTGCTCGAAGAGAGAGCTTACACTTGGGTGCTTTGTGCTGGGACTCTTTGGTGAGAGGTGCTGAGTGGACCATTGTGGAGGTGAGCACATTTTGGGCTTCCTCCTGACTCAGCTTTGCTCTCTGGTGCATGTCAGCACCAGGCTTAGCCCTAGCTTTGAAGCTTTTTAAATACTTGAAGAGTTGGGTACATCCTTAACTTGACCTTGGGCTAATGACTCTGAATGTCTTGCCACTGACCTAAATACCAGGTGTCCTGGGTAGAAACATACCCTCCTTGATGTGGGACTGGTCAACACCACCATGAAATTCGAAATTAGACCCTCCACAAATTTTTAAAATCCGGTGATTAAACACACACAACAACAACAACAACAACAACAAACCTCTTAAGTTTTATTTGGAATGAATTATTTAGTAGAACAGTGTGATGTGTTGAGTCTAGGCTATAGTTGGAGTTGCAAACTACAGCCAGAACTAAGACACCAGCTTCATTTTGGAGGTCTGAAAAGACACTCCTGGCAAAATAACATTCAAAAGGAAGAACACAGCTAAGCACAAAAGTTAACTTGCAGAATATGTGTTGAAACATCATAGATGTTGTACTGTAGGGCAGCTATGAAGTCAATCTTAGGAAAGATGATAATTAATTGTAGATAAATATAATTTAAAAGTGAAGCTTTCCAAATTCTATGTTGTTTTGGACTATTCTTCACTGAGACTCCTCTATGATTATGATCAATCAAATGGTTATTTAGCCCTTCATGCTTAATGGCCAACAGCTGGCCACTAGCATCCATTAGGGCCCATCATTGTCTGATGTTTAAAGCTCCGTAGAGCAAGTCACCTAGCTGACTCCTGGGCACCACAGTGTACCTTGTAGCATTCTTTGTAACTCAAGAAAGTGGTATTCTGAGGGCACTTGCCTCAACAACACTGGTGTACTAATGCAGGCAATAGGACTCTCTTTTTACCAGTCTCCAGGTCTCCTGTTCAGTGGCCATATGGTAGGGTGAAAAGGACCAGTGAAAGAAAACCCTGGCCCTGATGCCAGAGCCAAAGAAACACACCCTGCTCCTAACCAACTGATTGAATCCAACCAGTTCCTGAGCACAAAAACCAACCAATTCCAGAAAACAAAACAAACCAATCCCTGAGCAGAAAATCCAACCAATCTTAGGAATCTCAGGGACAAGCTCAGGAATTGAAATCCTACCAATCCCCACCCTGAAAATCTCCACCTTGGAAAGGTCTGCCCTGAAGAATCTGATACAAGCCCTAAACCTGTTTAGTTTGGGGCTGCCTTTTTCCACCCTGGCAGAGGCAGCCACTCTCCTGGACTCCCCCCTCTCAATAAATCTCTTGAGTGAGGTTTGTTATAACAACTTTCTTTCACAAGAGCCGAGCACAGCGGAGATGTAACAACTTTCGCCAGCCAGAGCTGTCACGGCTCTTGCAGGAGCAGAGCAGAACTGTGACACTTTGGCTGGGGAAACTTTCCCTTGCTGGAGCAAAGTGTTACACTCCAGGGAAGCAGAGTAGAGCTGTGACGACCTTGCTGGGAAAACCCTTCCCTGAAGGAGCAGAGTTGTTATACTAGCATTAGGTAAACTTTTCCTGGAGCAAGGACTGTGACACTTTGCTGGGGAAGCCATCCCCCACTGGAATAGAGCTGAAGGTAATCCTTGGCTTCTGGCTGCCAGGATACCTTTCCCTTCAGAGCTGTAACTCTTACACATATTCCCTAAGCAAAAAGGGTAGACAAAGACTGCCCCAAACTGGCAGGTTGTTACTGCATTTAGTCTATGGAAAGCTGCTTTTGAGCAGGACTCTATATGTGTTCTCTTTAAGATTCTTCATCCTGATAGCCAGGGCACTTTCTTCATGGTACTTACATAAGCAAACAAGGAAGTTGAAAGAACAGGACAAGCCAAGAGAGCAGGCTACATGAAAAAGATTATTGATCACAGTGGACAACAGTTCAAGTCCAACTTAGATACAATTGGGAGAGCCTCCTCACGCAATGGTAACTTCAAAAAGGCACTGACCCTTCTGGAACACAGCTTACAGAGCCTCTGCAGGGAGGGTAAGCCTATGGATGGAGCCAGGAGTGTTAACAGGATGCAAGGCCAAAGCCCACAGGTTAATGGAAAGTTCACAAAAGGAAGGGTAAGGGCCCATCTAAACTCTCACACATATGAAAGTGAATTCTCAGACATGCCCAAGCAGGAGTGCCTGGCAGTACTTTCTTCAAGAGGCTGGAGTGGAAGGAAGAGATGACCCTTTAATCCCACATCTTCATTCTAGAACATGAGATGTGATAAATGGAGACCAAACCACAGAGCACCCATGTCCTTAGGTGCTTTTCAGTGGACTGAAGAGCCAGAATCACCTGTGATTCAGTCAACAGTGGCAACCAAGCTCAAGGTCTAGACTGAGTTGGGTCTAGGGCTACCTTAAATCATCAGAAAGTTTTAAGGCTCCCTTACTCCTGACAATTCTGGTGTGCCATCATTAGCCAACAAACACCGCCATTGGAGTAAAGAATCATGATTGTAGAAACACCCACATTGAAGACCACTCTAGAAAAATTAGCAACGGATTGCTCCTTGAGTGCCCAAGTTTCTAGTTACTTACATGTCCACTGAAAACAGTGCTTGGAACATAGTAGGTGCATGGAAAGCATTTATCAGTCAAATCACAAAACAATGAAAAAGGGTGGTTTCTCTGGGTAGCATAGCTGGTCAGTAACAGAACAAGAGTTAAAACCAAGACTGCCCTTCTATTAGTTTTGACCTACTTAGACACATTTTTCCCATATTAAATTTGTATCCCCCCCTCCCAAATTCTAGTGCCAAATGCTGTGAAGCTAGCATTTCTTTCTGGGTGCAATGTAAATCGTTA